TACTACTACTACTACTACTACTTCCACTTCCACTACTTCCACTTCCACTACCACTACCACTGCCACTGCCACTGCCACTGCCACTGCCACTGCCACTGCCACTGCCACTGCCACTGCCACTAATAGTGCTATGCATAACAATAATGTCAACTAGTATTCGTTTTCAATAGTTACTGTCGACTGCGAAGTCCTGAAGAATTTCGGAGGCCCTGGCTTTCAATTGCACGGTAGCCTCGAAGGCTATCTGAATATCCCAGACGACAATCGAGAAGAAGCTTCATCAAATAGGATGGGACATGTTTCGGTTGTGTTCTGCATTACCTATATTGCTGGACCTTACCGCTAGACTCCGTTAACCTGTTTTCTGGGACAGCTCAGCGCCCTACACTCCGTCTTTACGCTCTGGGCAAGGTTAGGGCTTCTCTTGCACGCATCCCAAGAATCATATCATACGTATGGACTCAAGATGATAGCGATAAGCAACGAAGACGATGTCTTTTGCTGCTGCTGGAGGCAGCAGCAACAGCAGCAGCAGCAGCTGTGAAAGCAACAATCCGGAGTAGAAGAGTAGAAGAAGTAGTAGGTGCAAGCAGCGAACCGAACAAGTCGCACGTCAGGACGAGGCTTCTGGAAGCGGAGAATCATGACCTCGAGGCCAGACCACACCCGACAGCTTCTGCCATTGCTCCTCCTCGTCCTACGACGACGACGTCCACGACGACAGCACCAGCACCATCACGACCTCTACGACCGGTTGTTTACTAGTACGTACGTACTTCGACTACGGGAGCGATGATGGCAACACTGTCGCAACGACGGAGACGACGAGCACTACTAGTGGTACCATACTATTGCAACCATCGAGGACTGCTGCCGATTTTCCTCGAATTCTTCAATCCAGAACGAAGGGTTCGGTGTTTGATGCAGGCTTCAAGCTTTCGATTAGCTTTTTAGGTTTACGAAGCTTTCTGTTGGGGCTGGACATCAGGGTGCAGGATTGTATTTCAGATGTAGAGCGAACATGCCGAAGGCTGCTGGGTGCCCTGAGTACGCATGCTGGAGGCACTACCCGTAAGATTCACTCTTCAGTTAGGGCTACAGTGCAGGAGTCTACTCGGTAGCATCGTTGAATTCCGCATAAAATAAGCAGCACAATCTTGTTACCTGGCCGTCGGTCGCTGCTGCTGGTGCTGGTGATGGTGGCGTCTTGGCAGTAGTAGTAGTAGTAGTA